AGAACCTATCAAGAGTTGAAACAGAACGCAGGTGAGAGGTCTTGGAATAGAAGCAGGATGGCAGAGGGTGGGTAACCATGTCAACCGTGCCCTCCCCTTTGCATAAATGACCTTCATAGGCAGACGGCTCAAACAGATGTCTTGCTGTCGTGGGCGGGGTGCGACTGGGGCGGTTTCATGACGGATGGGAGCGCATCATATGTGCTGGGCTGATGAGAAACATGGCAAGAGCCCGCGTTCGAAGATAGTTGCCAGTAGTCTGCGATGAGGGCCCAGGTTGCTGGAGGGAACGAAAGGGTAGGCCGTGTGAATGCCTGCTGAGCAAGAGGGCAATAGACCAGCACGAATGGTCAAGAACGCGCAGAAATCTGACCGCCATCACACCTCGAATGAGTCCTTTGTCATGTCGGATGAAGGCCGAATCATTGTCGTTGGTTATCACCTGCACCTGGGGCTCGGAGCAACATCAGCACCTGTGGCAGATCGGAGATCCTTGGATCCAAGGGAAGCTGACGATTGGAATGAGGCGTGGCATACATGATCCGGATGGCATAGCTTCGCAGAGCACTCCAACTCTGCCATTCAAGGCGCACCTAGTTTTGATGATAATCCTGTGTCGTGGGAAGAAGGACAAATAGAACAAAGCAAGGCATGTGGCACACTGGGCGTGCGAGTGAGACAGAAGTCCTGGAATGCTGCAACTACCTGCTTTACCTTCAGTATTGCTTGAAGTAAGGTAAAGTAAGGAAGTGTCCAAACTTAAGTTGGTAGTGGTATTCCGAGTTGAGCAGAAGGGTACTCGGTAGTGGATGATGATGGAGACAGGACCGTTGGCTCTTTGGCAGGTTCTTATGCCAGGCAAACACGGCATGTACATGTAAGTACAGTACCTTGCCTCAAAGGACCGGCTAGGTAGGTTACGAGGTTACCCTGGCGCTGGAGGCACGTAGAAGTTGGGCGCTTGCTTTCCAGTGACGGGCCTGCATTGGTGAAGCTTGGCACGGGAGTTGTCAGCAGAGCTAGTGGCCGCCGCCTCGTGTTAGGTACCGCCCACACGGTAAATCAAGCCCCTGAGGCTCGCCTGGGTAAGGGTTCCAAGGTTGCAAGGGCTTCAGAGGCAGAACAACACCTCCGGATGTCTCTATGGGAGAAAACCAGATTACGGAGTAGGTTCTGGGGCTGACCACCCACGATGGTGCCCTGCAGCCGGGCCTCTTATGTCTAACATCAAGCTCGGGAAGGTCTACGTAAAGCAAACCGTCTGGTCTCCGACTTCCACTTGCCTTCAGGAGGATGGCCTCGTCAAAGGATTGTTGGTCTACTTGGAAAGAACTACTACTTCGTAGAACAGCTGGGTAACAAGGACCCGGGGAATGAAGCTTGGCGGGTCCCGAGACCAGAGCTGGTGCCAAGAGATGACCTCGGGTCCGCATGTATTGAGCAGAAGTACCTAAACTGTAGCATGAGGAGAGCGTACTCTGTAATGCGCTCTTGGACGCTCTCTTTGGTCCCGAGCAACTTGAAATACCAGACATACATGTAGGACACGTGGAGACGATGATGGGTTAAGCCGAGGCCTGCTGATAGACGGGTAGATCTCTGAGCAAAGAGATAATAGATAGCAATAGCAGGTCGTCATTCCATCCCGCGCAAGTGATTCCTTTCCCCAGAGTAACACCATGACATGGCATTCTCATTCTTTGTCTGCGGCGTCCGCTCGTAATGGCAACCGCAGAACACCAATTTTGAATGAAACACTTCGAGCTAGATCAACTTGTGCATGTTGCTGGATAGGTAGCTCCTCTATGTTACCTTAGGTACCTTATGTAGGTACCTACCTACCTAGGTACCTAAGGTAGGTAGGGAGGTAGGTAATTTGGCTGGGGTCCGCGAGTGACAACGCCTCAATATTGTGATCTCGCGAGTACCTACGAACAAGTACAGTGGGGCCCTTAGGTGAAGTAACCACTCTTGTGCGTCTCTAGGTACGCGGCTCTGGGGTACCCTCTACCTCGGTACCTCTGCTCTGTCACGTCATTGCACATACACCCAGAGTACACAACACAGAGAAACACAGGCACACACGCACATTCCACTGCGGTCGCACAGGACTTGGCCAGCATCGTGTTGGGGTTAGCCACTGGTTCCTGTGCGACGAGCAATACTGCACACTCCCGTCCTGTCTTGCAGTGGCTGGCCAGATTAGCTACATTACCTACATACCAACCTTACTTTTTGGCTGTGTGAGAGCCGGGGGAGGGAGAAAGGCTTTGCTGGCGACTCGAACAATGCCAGCCAGCCAGCCATCAGCCAGCCCCGCGACCAAGAAGGGAAAAGGAAAAGACCGGGTTGTGCGAGAAAAGACAGACAAACGAGGAGGTAACGGGTGACTGATCTCTGCACCGCCTCTCCAATTTGAGAAACGAGCCAATCAGGAGCGCGCAAAACACGCAGCCAAAAGCCAAAAAAAGAGCGTTGCTGCCAATCAGAGGCCGCCAAGAAGTGGGCCGCAGGCAAAAGAACGCAGCCCCACCAAGCCCACCTCCCTTCACCTTCCTTCCACCTTGCACCTGCCAGCTCTACAGACCAGACTTCGGGACTGTGGGATCGATAGGTAGGCAGGTACCAGCCACCCCAGTCTTCCTTCGTTCTCTTCCTCTTCTCTCTTTCCAAGCTCCATCCGTCCAGAATCAGTGAGTCTCTGTTTTCTCCTGTCGACGCGACCAACCCATCCAGTCTCGCTCTCTCTCGTCCACCCAATCGTGCCAATCCAACAGAGGCTGTCTCCAGTCTGACTCTTTTTTTTTTTTTTTTTTGCCTCCCACGCCTCCTTCCCTCCCTCCCTCCTTGTCGCGAACTCACGCGGCCTCCCCTCCCCACTTGGCAAAGCTCCAGCTCCAGCCCACTCCTGCCGATACTTGTTTCCCTTCTCCCTCTTCTTTAAGCCCCTGGTACTGTACCTCGACCGCTCTTTCCTCCATCCTCTTCTCCTCCCGCAAAACCCCCAGCAAGCAAGCGCCCAGCCCTGCGTCTCCGGAAGGCGGTGTCATTTTGACTGTCATTTGACGAGAGAATAGAGCTTCCCTTGCTCGAGACTTTGGTGGTGACCTGGACTCAAGTACAACTGTACCTTCTGACATCCCCAAAAAGTCCACATTTATCTCTCATTCACACATTTTATGCACACGACGCCTTAATACACCATAGCAAAGCAGTAAGTACCTTTTTTTCCCCCTTCACCCTTGTTTCCCCAGCCTCGCATGTCACTGGACATGTTCAATCCAAAAAAAAAAAAAGGACTTGGACCTCGAGACCATCGACTCGAGATGACATCGATGGCGATGGTGCGCGCGCACACAACATGCGTGATGTCGCAGTCTGCTCCAACACCCGGGCAGATGCGCATCGCCATCTGATGTTCGCTCCGACTCGACCTAGGCCGACGAAGCCGGCATGCACACGCAGACTGTTTGGCCAGTGAGGGGGGGGCCAAATACAGTCGCGAAAGGTGCTTGTCGCTCTGTGCATCTACGGGCGCGCCCGGATAGTCGAGATCATCCTGTATCCTGCTTCTGCTGCTGTGGCTCTGTGCTGCTGCTGCCGCTGCTGCCCGCATCTCTGCGCGTGCGTGTATGTACGCGCGCATGACCTCAGCAAGCAGCAGACAGCGCGCACCCAGTGCACTCGAAGCTGCGACAGTCCAGTCTCTTGGTCATTGAGCAGCCCTGCCCTCGATTGGTCTCTCGGCCCTCTCTCATCATTCCAATTTCACCCAGGCCCTTGTTTTTGTTGATTTGTTTGGAAAATAGCGCTGAAACATTGCAATCATTCTCTTTTGTTCGCTTTCTCGATACTTGTCGAGACCCTTGGATGGGCCAGGTACCCAGACTGACGCACACAGTTACATATTCCACCATGGAGCAGTGGCAGGTCGGCCCTGTACCGGAGTACATCTATGGCAACTCCACCAACCACCCCCAGGAGATGCAGTAAGTACCACCGTTTTATGTACCTCTCTCTCTTCCTTGCTGGACTTCTGGCTTGACCTCCCTCTTTGGCGGCGGGCGGTGGCCACACACACTCGCACACACACACACCTTCCTTCTTGTCAAGATCCCGGGGTTGGCTGCACCACCAGTTCAGCTTTCGATTGCAATTGCAAGCTCTGCGCTGTTGTCACTTGCTGTCCAGCCTTGGACAAGAATACATGCATCGACCAACCAACCAAGCCATCCTAGCCTCCATCCTCTTCATCCCAATCTCAGGCCCCAACCCCCATCCAACGTACCTAGACACATATTCATACATACTCTACCCCATCCACCCATTCTGATCACCTCGTCATTCTCCTCCCTCTCCACCGTTACCTCTCCTCTACCTTCGCCTCTCGTCACTCCACCCCCCCTCCCCTTCCATCCTGCATGGGCTTGAGCGAGCGACCAAGCAGGCAAGGGAAACGAGCAGCTCGACAGCTCGACGAGCCAAAGCTCCTCCTTATATGTACCTGATGTACCTGGGCCTCCCCTCCCCTCCTCACCACCGCACAGTCCCAACCTTCTGAATCCTTTGGGACTCCTGTGCCTTCTCCTCTCCGTACCGTACCTACACCTACCTGCCTGGCCGCACGACTGCCACCCCGGAGGAAAAAAAAAAAAAAAAAAAAAAGGCCACGGCCGAGAAGTCACAGAACCATTACCACTAAATCGTCATCATTCCCGGCCCTCTTCTTGCAAAGCCTGGCTCCCTCCTCTCCCCCGCACACCCACTCAACCTACCTTGGCCCCGCTGAGACTTAGCCGTACCTTTTCCCTGTCCTTCTTCCTACCCTCCCTCCACCCTCCACACCCGTCTCGGCGCCGTCGCTGCCTTGTCCCCGGCTCTACGGCGCACTCCGTGGTCGCGGTCGCGGTCGTCTTCTGCCGCCATCAATGAAGAAGGCGAGGCCCGACATAGCGCAGCAGCCATGGGCGACCCAGCCGGGCCCCCAAGCCAGGGCGCCCATGCAGCAGCAACCTCAGTTGCAACCTCAAGTCCAGTCGCCGTTTGCTAACGCTCCCCCTTCGTGGTATAGCCCTGGCCATCCCTATCAGCAACACATGGGACGCCGTAATGATGGCATGCCCGACTTTCGATACGGTGCTCCTCCCCAGCAGCATGCTCAGCAGCACCAGCCCTCTCCAGTGCAGCCGCCCATGAACGTCAACCAGCAGCACGCTCAGCAGCACGCTCAACATCAGCCACAACATGCCCCCCAACCTCCCACCCCACAGCAGCAGCAGCAGCAGCCCCCGCAAGCTCAGCCGCAACCCCCTGCCCCAGCGCAGCCCGCGCCGAGCCGCCAGCGGAAGCGCCCTGCCCCCGCGCCATCTCCGGTTGCGCCTCCCGTGCAGCCCCCTCCCCAAGCGCAGCCGCAGACTCAGGTCCAGCCTCCCGCCCCGGGCACTCCTGCCGCTCCGACCAGCGTGCCTGTCCCGACCCCCGTTCCGACCCCTCAGACTGCTCCTGCCGCGCAAGCGCCCGCTGCCGACGATGCCAATGCTACGCCGTCGCAGCCGCCCGCCAAGAAGAGCCGCACCAACACACCTTGGACGCCTGCTGAAGAGCAGCGGCTCAAGCAGATGAGGGATGCGGGAAATAGCTGGGCTGAGATTGCCAAGGTATGTACAACACCATCGGAAGGCACGGCCCTGGCTGAATGGCGCCTCGATGACTGACACTGAATCCCTCCGCAGACTTTCCCCTCTCGTACAGAAGGTAGCGTCAAGAAGCACTGGTATAAGGTTTGTCGCTGTCCCGCTCGACGTCTCTCTCGGGTCTCCGCTTGCCCTCTGCTAACCCCACACAGGATATGCATTATGCAGAGTTCGCCGAGGACGAGGTAAGCATCCCTTCTCATTGTCTCTGAAGAGCCTCATTTGTATCAGCATTGTGCTGACGCAGACAACAGAGCCAAGCTTTGCTCAATGCCATCAAGGAGTACGAGAACAATAAGTGGAAAGTTATTGGCCAGAAAGTCGGCAAGCCGGCCAAGGTTCGTTGTCCTCGACTCTACATATTCTATGCATACCCATCACATGCTGACATTCTCTTCCCTTTGCCCCCCACAGGCTTGCGAACAATATGCCAAGGAACACTTTGCCGAGCATTTCCAATCGAGCTCTGGAAAACGCTAACAGCTCTGCCGCGGATTGCGACCTGATCAGCCATCTTCCATCCAGCGGCGAGCGTTATGATGGACGGCTGTCGGCGCCTGTCAGAGGTTCTCCCTCCTGACTCGGAAGCTATATATGTCTTGCCGCGCGACTTCGTCCATCCTGCGAAACGATATCCCTTGTTCTTTTTTCTTGTTCTTTTCTTCCCTTACATGTGGCTGTCGGCTTCTTTTCTTGACTCGATAGTGGCGGCGTCTCATTCGTGCTTTCACAAGGCTCGCAAGGCAATGGCGGAAGGAGAGTTGTCGAACGGGAGAGGCGCTGACGGGAACGTCAGTATCGAATGTCTGCCCGAGTCGGTGACGGATATCAGCACGACGGTGGCTTTCGTCTGTCCCTGGTTCTCGACATTTTTGTCTACTTTTTACTGTATGGATTTGTTTGGTATGTTGTTGGGGGGGGCTAGGTCAAGGTTTACAGGGGAGTACGGACTTGGACTCGGTCACGAGGTATGCTCACGCGAGAGGTTGTCGTGTTACTCGCTGCCTGGCCATGGCTGGTCTAGGGTTGCACTCTGGGCACCTGCGGATGCTGGAGGAAACCAGATACTACTTGTAGGGCAATTATATTTTTGTGCGCGATGGAAGATAGAGGGACGGGAAAGCTGCTTTTTCCATTGTTATGACTAGGCTTGGGAGCTGGCGACTGAAAAAGTGAGGATCTGGGTAATAAAGGTGTTGATACAAGAGAAGTGAGTGGGCGAGCTACACTGGATCGTGATCTGTTTTCGGTGGTCTTGGAAGCCGATCTACCCAAGGTAAATGGTCCATACCCAACAAATATCCCTCTCTCTCCACAAGATTGAAAAGGGCTGGCGGGTCGGCTGGTGGGCTCGTATCAGGTCCGGTCATATCAAATGTACAAGTAGAGGTAAGGTACGGAGTAAGGTAGCCAAGTGGGCGGGCGTGGCGGCGCTTGCATGAGACTACAGAGCCAAGCTTTAATGAACCCCCCTCCCTTTCCCCCACACCAAGAACCTCCCCTGATCTGGAGGCTCATGCCTCGCACTTGGTGAAACAATACGAGAGAAAGGTTGACGAGGCGGGCTGGCCATAGGCAAGGAAATTCATAGATGACCAAAAGCCGTAGGCAATGCAGTTGTGTGTCAGTATCTACCTAACCTAATATCAAATATCCCGTCTGGATATGTGCTGCTATGCGGCATGCGCATGCGAGCTGGAGCTCGCCTTTCTGCAGAGTACCTACCTACCTTGCTTGTAGGTACCTACCTAGGTACTCTAGGGAGCTAAAGTAGCATTGTAGGTAAGGTAGGTTAGGTACAGGACCGAGCGAGTTTTCAGTACCTTGGATTGGCGGGCGGGAGCACGATCGATGGCTGTCGTGCAAGATGTTGACACCTGCTCGCGACTGCAAGGATGGACAGACGATGCAAGGCCCAGGGAGCTGCCGCAGGTGCTTTGGAGCCTCTCCTCGATCTGTTGTGAGCACGAAGACCGGGATACGTGACTCCGTACTTGTAGCATCTCCTCGCACCGCCCAACATCCAGTGTTCCCGCGTGGCGTGACCTGCTTCGAAAAGGCTCAGGCCGTTTGTTGTTTGGTTGCCACCATTCTAAACTTGGATATGGATTGGCATCCTGCAATGCCGGCTAGGCGAAAAGAGGCATGGACTCCATGACAGGGCCATGTAGACCTACCTCGAGCCTACGTACGCACGCCAAGCAGATTTTCCCTCCTGTGGTGGAGGGAGGCAGGGTGGGCTTGGTGGGTGGATTCGTAAACCCCCAGTGATCCCCCTGGGCCCTTTGCAACTCCCTGGCCTGACTGGAAGCTGGAGTGATTTTCTTTTTTCCCTTCTAATAACTACTTGTACAGACCTACTCTCCCCCCCCTTGGAAGTGCGACTCCACCAAACCTCGAGGCTTTCTTCACCTTCACCCCCATCTTTTCCACCTCGTCCTGTCCATCGTTTTGGCAAACCTCTCGTTTTTCTCCCCTCTCTCGCGTCTGCTTTCCCAGCTGTTGGATTCGTTTTCTTTCTTTGACGCGCTGAAAGCCGCAGCCTCAACTTGGTTCTGTGACGGAGCAGATCCACCCGGTCTTCTTGTTTCGGAAAGAAACAGCCAGCATAATCTTGTACCTATTACCTCGTTTTAATTGGGCTCGCCATCCTCGTCGTATCGTCGTCTCGTTGGCGTCGACAGAGGACGCGCACACCCGCTCCCCTCGCTCCCAACTTGTGTGTTTAAAGAGGACAACAAAGGAAGGTCTCTAGCGATCATCATCATCACCATCATCATCATCTTCCGCGTCCACGACCGACCTCGACTGTTCACCTACTTCCTCTGCGCTGCTGCCGCCCGCCTGCATCTCAGCATTCCAGCATTCCAGCATTCCAGCATTCCAGCCATCGCCGACGGCCCGTTGTCCATACACAAGCGGGAATAACCACAACTCTAGCATCTTGTGCCTCCTCGGGCCATCATCGCTTACCCCCGGACAGACAGCACTCTGCCATCATCTCTCCGATCGGAGCTCTAACCTCGCGTTTCTCTCCGACCAACATGATCCGATCGGTGCTTCCTGTGGGCGCCGCCCTACTTGGCTGCGCATCGACAGTTCTCGCTGCCGACCAGCCTACCTGCTCCCTTACGCAAAAATGCCCTGAATCGGCACCCTGCTGCTCTCGTAAGTTTCACTCCTCAACATCCCCTTTGACCTGGACCCCATGGCCCTGGGACGGTGTCGTCCTTCGTCCTCTGCCGACAAGGGGACCCGTGCGATGCTGTTGTGCTGCTATCGCACGAGCTGGAGCAGCTAGCGCTGCACCTTGGGGTGGCACCACAGCACATATCTCCTCTGATCGTACTAGCCCTCGGCCGTTTGCTGACTCGCCCTTGTTCAAGAATACGGCCAATGCGGTGTCGGTGCTTACTGCCTCGGCGGCTGCGATCCTCGCATGTCCCACACCCTGGACTCCTGCGTCCCCGCCCCCGTCTGCCAGAGCAAGAAGTACCCGATGACCAGCTTGGACGGCATCGTCGACGTCAGCAAGTATCTGGGCGACCCCAAGACGGCCGATTGGGTCGCCCAGGGCGAGCCCCTGCTTTTCGACGGCTCCGTCCTCCTGACCATGCCCGCCAAGTCTGTCGGCACCGTTCTCGCTAGCTCGACCTACATGTGGTACGGGAGCGTCAAGGCCAAGCTCAAGACCTCGCGCGACGCCGGCGTGGTCACCGCCTTTATCCTGCTCAGCGACGTCAAGGATGAGATCGACTACGAGTTTGTTGGTACCGAGCTGGACATTGCCCAGACCAACTACTACTACCAGGGCATCCCGAGCTGTAAGTATCAAAAGTCTCGAACGAGACGTGGCATTGGACGAGCCGCCGCGGAAGCATCGGGCCCCCGAGACAAGAGCTGAAGCTAACCCACGCGCCCGTCTAGATGTCAATTCCGGCAACATCACCGGCCTGTCCAACACCTACGACAACTTCCATGAGTACGAGATCCAGTGGACCCCGGACCAGATCACCTGGCTCGTAGACGGCAAGGTCGGCCGCACCAAGAAGAAGTCGGAGACGTTCAACGCGACCACCAACCAATACGACTACCCCCAGACCCCGGCCCGTGTGCAGCTGTCCATCTGGCCCGGCGGCGCCGACACTAATGCTAAAGGGACCGTCGACTGGGCCGGAGGCAAGATCGACTGGAACTCGGCCGAGATCAAGAACTACGGCTACTACTTTGCCACCTTTGGCGAGATCGAAGTCAAGTGCTTCGATGCCAAGTCGCCCCCCGGCACCAACACGGGCACGTCCTACACCTACAACAGCGCCAAGGGCACCAACGACACCGTCATCGACGGTGACAAGCCCACCATCCTCAAGTCCTTCCAGGGCACCGGTGTGGACATGGACAAGGGCGGCAACAAGGCCTCGGGCACCTCGAGCGGCTCCGCGTCTGATGCCACCCCCAACACCGTCCCCGGCGGCACCAGCACCGGCCCGGGCACCAATGGCCCGGCTGCCGGGAATGACAATGGCAGCGGCAGCGGCGGCTCCAGCGGCGGCGGCGGCGGCGGCGGTAGCGGCACCGACTCGGGCCCCAAGTGCGAATCGACGGGCTTCTCGCAGAGCTGTGGCGGCAACGGCAACAGCAACGGCAACAGCGGCAAGAGCGATGGCCAGAAGCTCGGCGGGGAGAGGATCCTCGGCGCGAGCGGTCTGGCTGCCGTCGTTGCGCTCGCGGGCATGCTGCTCCTGTAAGCTGTGCCTCGTGCAATGTCTTGTGGCCAATGGAGCTGCTTCCTTCTTTTTATAAACTGCATACTGCTGCCGGTGTCTGTCTTTTAATGGTCTGTCGTCTTTTCGATTCCCCGGCTCTTCCGGTCGACTACATGCGGGTATGGTTTGGTTTATTTTCCTTGATATACTTTATTCCGCCTCCTTGGCTCTCGGGTTGGCGGAGCTCCGTTATTTACGAACAAAACTTTTTAATGGCCTCGACACATGTAATACCAAACTGGTACAGGGGTCTGGAGCTTTGATGTGGCATGATGCCTCATCTGAGCTCTAGAGCTTGATGGAAGCATGCCAGGTACGCAGGAGGGAGGGAGGTAATGGCTCTCTGGGCCGTCCGCTCCTTTGAACGATCTATCAAAAGCAACGACGTGAGTGCGAGGGCTGTGCAAGGCCGTGTCGCTTGGAAAGAGCTTGTTCTCGTCGCTTTGGACGAAGATTCGCAAAAGCACTGACAGATGATGAAGTGATCCATGTGTATATACACCTGAGAGTATGTATTTGCGTAGGACGAGATGAAGAAATCAGTTCATGCAGTTCATGCGAGTTGGCATCCCCAGATTCCTTTTCGGGTTCTCGCGAGAACGGTCGACGACCTCGCGTGCCGCGCCTTGTAGTTGAGATGCCAAAATGGTTGTATCAAAGTTGGGCGACCTCTCATCTTGGATGCAAGTCTAAACGGCGCTGAAACCCGACCCTGGCCTGGCTCAACATCTGGGTGACAAGTGCGGTTCCACAGCTGTAGCTACAGGCCCGGTACAGGTATATGATGTACCTAACCCCACTACAGTCAGGGCCCAATAGCCGCCCAATCAGCGCCGCCAATTATTACAAGTCTTTAAGGTACTACCTACCTTCACTACTTACCTAAGTAGGTACACAACGCCTCTGCATCCGAGACCTTGGAGGTCAAGTTGAGAGAGAGAGAGGGAGAGCTCCAGTTCGAGTACTACCGAGAAGTATCGCTGTTCGGCTGCAATACTCTGTTCCCCCCCTTCCCTCACGCTTCCCAGACTCTTCATCGCTTCAAAAGTATTCTCGGCTGCGTCTATCTCTCTGCAACAAAGCACCAGCCGATCTACTCGGGGCCATCTAGCCAGGAGCCTCCTTCCCACCCTTTTCTGTGCCCGTGCCCACGTGCACGGATTACATTTGGGGCGCCATGTCCTCGTCTCAAAAGATCACGTCCAAGAACCTGTCCTACTCGCAGAACCTGCCGCCCTTTCTCGCCGCGCTGCGCGGGCAGCACGCGCCCTCGGACGCCGACGGGCCGGACCCCATCCTGGCCGCGCGCAGCCGGCGGCCGGCGGCCAGGCGCAGGGGCTCGGCGAGCGAGGACGCGCCGCTGGTGCTCGACGAGGAGGGCAACGTGGTCAGCGACGTCGCGGTCGGCGTCGACGGGAGCGTGTCGAGGAAGGAAGGGCCGCAGGACGGTGGTGCCACCGCTGGTGCTGCTGCGGCGGAGGAGGACGGCAAGACCCATGCGCAGAGGGAGGGTGAGAGGGTGGCCGGTATTGGCGCTGGCAAGAAGAGGAAGGTCGGCAGGGTTGTCGGCGGTGATGACGCCCAGGAGGAGGAGGAGGAGGGAAAGGGAGAACGGAACGAACCGGAGAGCAAGCATGCCGGGCAAGGAAAAGCGGGGCAAGGAAAACGACCAGAGAAGCACGGCGGTTCCGGCAGGGAGACCAAGGGAGACAAGACCCCCAAGAGCAAGAAGAAGGCCAAGAAGATCAAACTGAGCTTTGGCGACGCCGATGGAGACTGAGAGAGGCAAGCCGTGGGTGAATCACCGGCTTTTCGGCATTCTATCTACATTGCCAGCTGTTGCAGACCACCAGGCCGAAAAATGGCGGCGCCAGGGCCATGTCGACAAGCCGGCCCAGCCTTGGATATCGGTATTGGCAGGGTCCGAGCCGGGCTCGAGGTTCGCTGACTGCGACTTTCCGCATCGCACCTGGATGGGATCGATCTGCCCAAGGACGGATGAGTGGTCAGGCGTAACCTATTGCGGCGCAAAGGCGTGCTGTTACGGCACGCCAACCCGGCCAGAGCTCACGACACTGCACAGGCACTGCAGAGCCAGGCACACAGCCTTGATAGCGCCCCTTGTCACGGCAGCGGGGATTGCTTCAAAAGATTGAGTAGATCACACCTTAACATAGAAAACAATCTATACAGCTGCCACTGCCCGGGACTATTCTACACACACGCTGCAGATCTGCTGCTGACTCCATACTCATTGCTTTGCACCACCAAAGCCTCGCGCACCGCAGTGGTGCCGGCTGCACTGCTCTCATCTACTCCGTTCAGACCAAACACCGTGCCGTCATAACCACTTAGCGGTACTCGGGCTTGACAAAGTCGGCAAAGGTCTTGGGCTCCTCGTAGCCGTGGTGGTCGTGGCCGTGGCCATGGCCGTCATCCTGGGGGCCGACATACTCCATCTTGTAGACGCTGCCGCACTCGGGGCATCGCTCGATGGGGCGCTCACGGGACATCTGCATTCGGGAAAGAAATCACACGGATTAGTACATGGGCACGTGTGTATGCGTTTCGGCAAGGGTCAGAACACTTACGCCGAGCCAGTTGACAACGTGCGAGTCGGCGGGGGAGCCGGTGCAACCGACGTACTGCTCCTCGCCGGCGGAACGGACGCGGATCGGGTCAGCCATGGTACCTGTATCGTAACAGAGTCAGTCCACAATCGTAGTGTCAATCCGCGACGCGCGCGCGGGTGCCCGGATGGGAGGGGGGGGGGCCCAACTCACCGAGCCGGGAGGCATCGAGAGGTCGCATGTCGAAGACGTCGACACCCTCCATCTTGCCCATAATCTCGAGGCGCTCCAGACCGGTTGACTGCTCGACGTCGGTAGGAACAGTGCCGGGCTTGGCACCAGGGCCCAGAAGGTCGGCCGAGGTCTTGATCTCTATATTGCAGAAGAAAACAGCTCTGGTTAGCCTTTGCGCGCATCCTCTTTGGTTGTGAGTAGACAATGTCAACATGTCAATTGGTCGTCGAGAACGGCATGCGTAGCGTAGCTCGAATGAGGTTCCACCAGCATGGCATGTTTTGGGGAATCGTGGGTCGGTAACAGCTCGGCAATGGGGAGAGAGTATGGTATCGTACCGGACAGGCCCTTCACCTTGGTCGAGGTGTTGCTAGGGACGGCATCGACTATAGCAGAGGAAGAAAGGAGTCAGTTTAGGCAAGCCTCGTCAGGGCCGGGTGGTGAAGCAGCCGGCCGGGAGCTTGGAGCAGAGTGGAAAGATTTCTTACAGCGAACGATCGAGGTAGCAAAGCTGCGGCGGACGACGGGGGCGACGGCGGCCCGGCGGGCGACGGCGATGGCAGAGCGCTGCAAAAACATTGTGCGAGAGACCAATTGATGCGGTCGAGAGGTCAAGAGGTGTCTCGGTGGCGGGTTGGAGAGGGAGGAGAGATTCGGGGTTCTGGAGGAGAGGGAGGGATTTGTAGGCGCGGAAGGGAAATGGCCTGATGATGATTTTGGGGGGTGAGTTTCGGGGGGGAGTGAAGCACGGGCCACACCATGGTATTTTTTTGGGAATTGCTCATGTACTTTACTCCGTAGAGCAACGGACCAGGCCAGGTGCACGTGATCCCGGTCTGCCAAAAGTCATGTCATCTCGGTCTCGAGCATCCTCATTGGCCACTCACTACTCCGCATAGCTGCAACACACACATGGTGCACGAAGCTGAATACAGAACCTAAGGTAGGTACTTAACTTTAGGTATAGTAGTATGTATGTACAGCAGCATAGAGGTAAGGTACCTGAGTTACTTAGTTATATGGCTGTGGAACGAGCCATGGCTCTTCCCAGAGGCGCGTGCTATAAGTGTCAGAGGCTGGACATAAAAGGTATCCGGTACTGAAGGCTACTAGGGAATTCTCTTTTTAGTCTGACAATAAGCCTTCTGACAACAGTCTGTTTATTCTCTATCCAGCACACACAGCCGGTCTGTCCGAGTGTTCAAAGAGTCTTTGACAGCTGTTGAGGCTGCAAGACTGAGTTCATCAGGGTCAATGACGTTGCATCAGGTAGTATACAAACTACCTACTTTTGTCAACTAAGGGTCGGATCAATCGAATTCTATTCGTTGAGGTGTCTAATTCTAAGAGAGAAAAGGGGAAGGCCGCCAGGGGGCCGCCGGCCCTTTGAGGTGGCCCTAAAGAGCGGTATGGTTGGGCAGAGACAGCTCTACATACTAAATTTGCCCTGGGGTTGTCCTTAGTGGACCAGCCCCTTCTGATACACCCCTCTAGATCTCTGGAATCCGGGATTCCAGGAGATCTGAAGCTATTTCTATGTTCTAAATAGGAAATTAATGATTTTACTTGGTGTTAAAGACCAATTAGTCACTTCCGGCCTATTTAACTATATATTAGATATTAATATAGATATATATTAGGCAGGAGGTCCTATAGGGACTATCTCTTCTTACTATTAACTCTTATGCCTTTCTTATATATTCTGGTATATCCTATATAGCTCTGAATAACTCCTACTCTTTCTAATAATTAATCTAATAGTCTAGTAGTTATGATGCCTACCTTCTAAGGTAGAAGACTTAGGTTTAAACCTTAGTTAGATCTTTAAACTAGGTTTTAAATGCCTCTAAGCTTTAAGATATAGTTTTAAATAGTCTTAGCTAGGGTGTTTCTTAGGTTTATTAGCTTCTTATTTAGGTTGGCTAGACTAGGAGATTCTATAGGTTCAATCCCTATAGAGGATATTAATCTTTTTATCCTTCTCTTAAATAATAATAGAAAGAGATATATAGGAAATAATAGTATAGTACTTTCTATAAGTAGTTCTAATAGTTTAGTAATAGGATACCTATCTTTCTTAGTAGGAGGTCTAGGTTTAATTTCTAGTTAGATTTCTAAACTTCTTAGTATCTTTAGGTCTTAAGAAGTTCTTTTTATTTAGTATAACTAGAGACTACTATTCTTTTTACTAGTCCTAATCATCTCTTAATGTGACGATCCTTGATCCCAAGAGGCAAGACTACTTCGTAGGATCGGAAGCGTGTGGGTTTATGTAAGCAGTAAGTGATGGGCGCTGCTGAGCAATGGTGGTTGACTTGATCGTAGCTAAGAT